AAAAAAACCCTGCAAAAACTAGAAAACCAGATCTAAAAGAGTGGAGTAGAACTGATGATTAATCAGGGTGGTTTTGAGGGGTGTGTGTGGGAAGGTTAATACAGAAGGCAATCTGTTTTACTGCATTTTTAGAACACAAGACAATGGTTTAAACACAATTATTTGTAATTCAGTTTGAGAATTGTGTAGTGTAATTACAGTATTATTGCATAACAATCTGGTGTAAAATATTACCTTGAGTTGATTGCAGCCCTTTATAACTTGCTTAGCCAAATTTTGGCCCATGCTTCACTGGTATAAATATTGAGTGATGCCATGGAATGAGGAGGTTAAGTTCCCTGGCACTATTCCAGATGTACACCCTTCTAACAATAGGGAGTTTTTTGTCCTCCTGTTGTCCAATGATGATGATCTATAAATTAGCTAGATATCAGGAAGCATTGGTTATTATTGGCATTATGTAATGTTGTATGTTGGTTGCTCTCATTTGAAAAAAAAACACTTGATTCTATTACTGTTTTTACAGCTCTTCTGTCTTGTCTATGATGGAGAAGATTCAAAATGCCCTTAAGTGTCTGATTTCAAAATCTAAGTAGGCTAAAAGCATTTGTTAGAAGAAATAAGGAAAACAGAGCTTCTCTCTTTCTGTTAAAACATGCCTTGGACATTTTAATGATGACAAATAAAGATTATAAGACCTTTCAACTTTCATGTAGGTGAGCAATTAAAAATAATAATAATAAAAAAGCTTTTGTTTATGTTCCAAAACACAGTGTTGTTTTAATGTCATATCTGTTAATATCTCATTAACAACTTGTGCCAGCAAGTTATGCACAATACAGCCAAAGTTAGGTAAGTGTTACGTTATTACAGACTCCATAGCTACTAGGTACACACACAAAGTATATAATAACAGCTTCCATTTTTTATGGCATCTTTCATCTGAGGATCTAAGTGCTTTATGAGCATTAATTAATTAAGCTTTCTAATTCCATCCACAGAGCAGTGAGTTGACTTGTCCAAGATAACAGGGGAAGAGCTGGGAACGGGAGTCAGGAATTTCAGCTCTCCTTGTGTACCTGGAATACCAGACAAGTTTACATCCCCATCCCAGAACCACAAGATGATAACACAGGTATTTTGAAAAGCAGTGAAAAAGAGAAGTCCTCATTTGTTCATATTTCTATATTCACAGATGGGTATGCCTATATATATATGTGTGTGTACATATATATATATAAAGAAGCACACATACAGACATATATGTACAGACACACATGCATATACCTAGTGGCATAACATGCATACACACACGCATATGCAGAGACATATATAGTCTGTAGTCCCAAAGGAAGTCCAAAATTCATTGCAGCAGTATGAGGAAGTTTCTTCTTTTTTCCTTTGGTCGATTTAATGTAAAATTGGAAATAATGTATTATGGAAATCCACAATCTGATTGAGTAAATCTGTATCTTTTGCAACATATCAGATTTCATATCAAATTTTAAACATAGTCTGCTCTTTCTTTAAAACAAAGATGAAGCTTATTAGATATAGTTTTTTGGAATTGTATGAAACATTAATAGGAAATGATAAGAAAAAATGTGTTACAAAATTCCCCTTTGTATGTTTAAGAGAGGCGATAGGACATGGCAAGAACTCTCTGTTTAAGCAGTATACAGATGCACCAATGGCATAGACATGTCTTCCGGTGTTACATGCGGAGGCACCATTACGTGAGGCTTCGTGGTTTAATTCTGCCCCGAGGACGGCGGGCGATAACCACGGATCCGCTCTGGGGGTCACTTCCCACCGCGAGCAGCGTCACCGTTTGTCATCTCAGACCCAGGATTTGTTGGACCCTTGCAGGCTTCGAGAGGGGCCGTCAAACAGTAGTGACAGCGAGGCTCGGGACAGCTTTGCGCGGGTGGACCCGCTTTATAATAGCAATATTAATAGAACAAGGGCAATTTTCCCCAAAGCGCCAGCATCGTGGACACCTCACTGCTGCTTTCGGGATCCCGCGGGGTGCGAAGCGCGCGCATAGAAGCAGGAGGCCCCAAACCACCGCTCAGCATCCTCCACGTTGTACTTTAGGCCTCGATTTGAGGGAATTTAAATCCATATACGTGTGTATTGACAGCGCAGCCCCGCGCCCCGC